CTCTTCGGCAGGAGGAAGAGGCCGCTACGTTTCGATTTATGCTATTTTTTTTTTCTTTAGAGATTTTTTTTTTTTCTTTTTTTTTACCGAAATCGGCCGTTTTTTCTCTCAGAGCGCGCGGCCTCGCGCCTCCGCTTTCCCGCCCTCCCCGCCCGCACTGCGCATGCGCTCCCCGCGCCCCCTTCCTTCCGCGCCGCCGCGCCGCCGGTGCGCATGCGCAACGCGCACAGAGCGCGCCACTGCACCTGCGCGGTGGTAGGGGAGCCTGTGCGCATGTGCCGCCTGCGCGCGCCGAAGAGCCGCGCGTGCGCTGTGTGCGCCGAGCGTCTGCGCATGCGCCTTGGGGGACAGGGGCAGCCACTGCTGAACCACGCGTTCCGCTGCGCTCTGTCACCGTCCGGGATAACGGGGGGCAGCGGCGGCAAGTGCGAGAAACGGCCGTGCGGCTGCGGGGCAGCTCGAGCTTTTCGCGCAGGCACCGCCGCGGGCAGCCCCGCTCTGCAAGGCCCCCGCGAGGCCCCAGACCCGCTCCGCAGCCATTGGTCGCTGCCCCCCTTTTCCGCGCGCCACTTCCTCTCATTGGCCGCCGCTCGCTCCGCCGCCCTCCGATTGGCGCAGCCCGCCGTCCGCGCGCCGCACGCCATTGGCTGCCCTTCCGCCCGTGGACGGGGTGTCTCGTAGCCCCGCCCATCGTCTATATAAGGCGGCGCAGGGTGCGACGCGCCTGCCATCGCGGGAGGGAGGTGGCAGCGCCGCACGGCTCCGCTCCGGCTCCGGGTGAACGGGCGGTGGGCGGAGCGGCGAGGCGGGGCGGAGCGGCGTGCGGGCCATGATCGAGATGGCGGCCGAACCCGACGCCTTCCGGGCCCCTCCGCCTCCGCTACGGTCGGGAGAACCGCCGGGAGGACCTCCGCCGGGCCCCGCCGCTCCAACCGGGCCTCCGCGGCGAAGAGGCCGTGAGGAAGGGGAGGGCGGCGGGGAGGCCCCGAGGCCGCGGAACGGCTTCCGAGCGGCGGGAGGAGGAGGAGGAGGAGGAGGAGGAGGGGGGGGGGGGGGGGGGGGGGGGGGGGGGAAGCGGCGGAGCAGCTGCGCCGGCCCGAAACAACCGCCGTGGAAACGGCGCCGGAGAGCGACGTCGGAATGCGACCCGGCTCTGCCGTCCGAGTTCCTCCTGGGGGGAAACATCTTCGACCCGCTGAACCTCAACAGCCTCCTGGACGAGGAGGTGAGCCGCGCTCTGAACGCCCGCACCCCGCAATCCTCCCCGCTCCCCGCCCGCGGCCGCGACCCCGTGGAGATCCTCATCCCCCGCGACATCACCGACCCGCTCAGCCTCAACGCCCCGGGGGGGGGGGACGACGACGGGCTCCGTTTGGCTTCCCCGGCTAAAGCCACCAGACGTCGGCATCGCCACCGCGGTCAGCAGCGAGCCGGCACCGCCAACAGCACCGCCACCAACAGCACCGCCACCACCAACAGCACCAACAGCAGCGGCGCGGAGCCGGAGAGCCGAACCGAGCACGGCAACGCCACCGGCGGCACCGGCAGCACCGCCTGCTCCAACAGCCGGCACCGTAAGAGGAGGAGGACTTGCAGTAAATCCGAGCCCGCCCGCCCCGCCGCTTCACCGGAGAAAGGGAAAAGCGGCAACGGAGCCGCCAAGAGCTCGACGGCGCCGACGGCGCGGAGGCGTAAAACCCAAAAGTTCCAATACGGGAATTACTGTAAATATTACGGCTACCGCAACCCGGATTGCGAGGACGGGAGGCTGAAGGCCATGAAAGCCGAGTGGTTCGCCGGGAAGGAGGTGTTGGATGTGGGGTGCAATGTGGGCCACGTGACGCTGAGCATCGCCAAGCGCTGGGGGCCCAGCAGGGTGGTGGGGTTGGACATTGACGGAGCCCTGATCCGCTCGGCCCGCCAGAACATCCGGCACTATTTGTCCGAGGAAATGGCCGCGCTGGAGGGCGGGGGGAGGAAAGGGTTCCCGGCGGCGCTGCTGGCCAGCAGGGGGCCGATTGCTGCGCCCACGCTGCCCCCCGACGGACCCGCGGCCGCCCGCTTCCCGCACAACGTCGTCTTCGTGACGGTGAGGAAGGGGGCGGGGC